CTTTTAACCATCAAACCATATGAAGCTAGTAGGTGGTACAAGAAGAAACAAAAGATTGGATGAAAAACAAAAATCTTCTGTTACAATCTCTCCAGACGAGTCCTCCTGGACCTAATGGGTGCACCTACATCCCCGGGAGTGGGGGTAGTCCTTGTACATTAAACCAGAAGAACTTCGCGAGTCACATTATTGCTACCCCTCCTGCTCCTGCTGCTGCTGGTGGCACATTTCCATTTCTCGTGGTTCCGTCTGGTGTCGCTACTGAAGATGATAAGTAGATCAGTGAAGGCAGTGCTCATTGACAATGTGACGGGACCTTGGAAGAGAGAGACGAATCTGTAAATTACTTAGATAAAATAGAAGCAAACTGTGTTTTCATTCTTTATTCTTTATATTTTTTTCATGCGTCAAATGTAATCTTTCACTAGCATGATGGAGGGAGACAAAAGTAAGGTGATGTGTTTGTGTGTATTTTGCATAGTCATGGCAGAAGAATTAAAAAGGATAAATTGAATTGTATATCTTTTACCTCGTATGTTGGTGTGGTTGATTACAGAAAAATGCTATTCTTGGTTTTTCTTCCGACTCTGCACAGAACCGTGCTAGTCAAAACACCACTGTTGCATGCAACTTTCCTTTAAGCTCAGTAATTAACTACCATTATTCAAATGGTGTATCAAGTACACGAGACTCTCGTCATTATAGTGCTAGGGGAGAGTTAGCCATACACCTCCTTACCCTGCAAGCAAAGAAGCTGTTTCTACGGCTTGCAATTTATGTGACTTCTAAGTCACAATAGAACAACCTTATCGTTGTACAAAGGCCTGCCATAAAAGTTTTTGAAAAAAACAAGCCACAAATTTAAAATTTTTGAATAACATAATTTTTATCACTTTAACTTTTCATAATTGTTTTATCATAATTTTTTGTTCAACTTTTCAAATAATGAAGGAAAAAAAAGGGGGGAGGGGGGGGGGAGGACGAGTAGGGAAGGAAATGTGTGCAAGTTCCGTGTTGCCCAGAGTCGCTGCTAGTACTATATTATATAACAAACAAATTAGATGTGGGAGAATTTGAGGGGCCTTCCTTCCCTGTGTTCTTAGAATTTATATTCATTTTAATACATTAAATCGAATTTCATTTCAACACCCCAAATTTGTTATAATTCTTTACTTTTTAAATTTTTCATAAGGAAGTCGGACGGGACTCTTATGAATTTAGAGTGTGTTTGGGATGATTTATGAAATTTAAAAAGTATTTTTTTAATAAATGTTTAACAAAAGTGTTTATAAGAAAAACACTTTTATTAAATAAGTATTGTTTGGATATTCAAAATTTAAAATACTTAAATTAATGTATTTTATAAAAAACATGTTTGGATGTGAAAACACTTAATAAAAAAAAAATCATACACAAAAATATCATATTAATAAATGTATCATACAAAAAAACTATATAGTCCAACTATCCCGCAATACACATGTTAATGATAAATACAATCAAAAATCATGCTTGATTGTCCCTTACAATTGCTGAAGTAATATGTTCTCTCTTCCTATACATTTTTTTTTTTTAAAGGAGAAAATTTTATTTCATAAAACCCAAAAAATTACAAGAAGCAAAATCTGAAACTGTTCAAGTAAAACGGTTACAGTTTAACAACCAAAAAAATAGTAGACTGTACAAAAAAATAGGAAAAATTCCTGTTATCCACAAACTGTCCTGTACAGTAACTGTTTTAACCTTGCAACTCAACTCCTACTCTGCCTAGCCACTGCAGCATCAGACCAGTTCAGATCCTCAGCCCAGTAATAGACATCAGTAGTCAGCAGCATCATCTCAACAGCTCAGCAATTCAGCACATAGCAGAGCAATATCAGCACATAGCAGAGCAAAACAATGCCTGAAAAACCCCTCCATTTCACATCAAAAACACCCGAGTACACCAGACCCATCAACCAATTCCCTGTCTCTGATCACAAACCACCAGTCTCTTCAGTCTGATTGTAGGCAGCCCATTTTGGTCTTGCTGCAAAATCAATCTCCCAGAAACTGGCAGAGCATTACCAACAGAAAAGTCAGATCTCCTACCAGACTGTACAGCCAGGGAAGCCAAAAAATCAGAAATCTGCACATAGGAGACTCCCCTGAAATGAGGACAAAGCCCATAACAGCAGCTAATCTCCTCCATACAGCATGAACTACAAAGCAATTAATGAACAAATGACTGAGACTCTCCTCATCCAGACCACACATACTACACCTACTGGCCAAAACAACACCCACACTCCTCACTCTACCATCAGAAGTCCAAAGCATTTCTGAAAATTTTTTCAAGCACACAATTGAGCACTAGGAAAGTTTTTTGCATCCATATACTTTGTGCCAAACTACTATGAACACCTTTCTTTCTAATCTGGCTCCAAGCTGACTTAACAGAAAAATCACCTGAATTCTCATGTTTCCAAACTCTCCTGTCAGGCATATCAGACCATACCACCACAGTATTAGCAATCTCAGCTTGATCTTGGGGATTCAACCACTCAGACACCTCATCAAGAAACCAACCATCAGAACCCCAAAGATCATCTTCAATCTTCAACATAAGGACCTCAACCTCAACCAATATTGACTCACGGTTTTGTGCCAACTACAAATATGTCCTTACAAACCTTATTTTGTTAAGGTACTCGGAACATTATCAAATCTCAAGGCCATCAAACCATTCAGTTCAAAACAAATGATAGAATTGTTAAGTTAATGATAGCATGCCACCAATAATTTACTTTAAAAAATGCACCATTAGAAGGTTATGATGTTTATCTCACAGTGACTTGTCTGATACTAAAGCTTACATTACTTGGGTGACAAATTTTCCCTGTGAAAAAGAACTGAAAGATGGAAACTATACGAATTTGATTGCATATCAATACAACAACCAACTGGTAAAGAAGAGCAGCTTTTTCATAATGTTAATTCACAAATCATTTAAAGGCAGCATATTGGGGAAAAACAAAAGGAAAAAAGAGAATCCCATTTATACAGGCTAGAATGATTATAGTGAACTATTACCTGTTACTGCCTCGAAGTGGTAAAGATGGTGAAGCACGATCAATCCAGTGGAAAGCTTCAATGCTGCAGAAGCATATTCACAGACTATGTTCCAAAAATAATCAAACTAGTTTCCATATAAACTCATTTAATCATGCCAAATGAGTTTAGATCTTTCCTCTGTATAGTGGATTATTTAGATTTGTCCTCTGTATAGTGATCTATCAAACTGTGCATTTGTTCAACTGATAGTCATTTTATCAAACAGTTGGTGAGCATTCTATCAAACTGTCGTCGTGAGAAAGAGCAATGCATTATGGAAGTAAAATAATATAGTGATTTTCATAGTAATCAGGGATCAAAAAAATAAAAAACAGTTTCCCCAAATACATCAAAAATTGATACAGTAGACACCTCCTTGATCTCCAGAAATTTTATCATCATAAAAAAAAAATACAAACCAAAATACATCAACCCACAACAAAGAAGATATTGTACCTCGTTGCAGTCGGAAATAGCTCGTTAGGCAGATAGAAGAGAACAAAAATACATCAGCTCCTTGGCTCTGGCGTCGTTGGTAGTTGGCGACAGAGAAGGTAGTGTCGTTGGTCGGCGAGATGAGACAATATATTGCCGGCGTCGGCGTCGGCGACGGCGGGACGAGAGAGCAGAAAGCGGCTCGAGGAGCGAGGAGAAAATGAAAAGTAAAAATGAAAAGTGATTTTTAAAAGTAAAAGTTATTTATTTTTATTAAGTTATTTAAGTGTTTAAATTATTTTTATTTATTAAAAAGTGTTTTTAATAAGTTAAGTCAAATACTATTTTTTTTAAAAAGTATTTTTCATAAGTTAAAAATTTTAAAATCACTTTTTTTTAAGTGATGCCAAACATACAAAACATCATTAATAGATATAGCCAAATTCAATTTTACAAATCCAAATGGATTGCGATCATACCCGGATTGATAGAATTAAATTTTAATCCGTATCCAAGGAATTAAATTTGAATTGAGATCAAATTCGGATTAAGATCGGATTCATTAATTGATAAAACTATATATCAATGATGTTTTGTAAGTTTACCATCAATTTTAGTCTTCTTCAAAAATTTTAAAAATACTAATGACCCATGCATGTCAGTTAATCCATTTAGAAAAGAAAAATCCACACTAAATGTTTGGGTGAGACTAATCTATTTCGCTTTAGCGATGGTTATAAGATTTGAATTCTGTTATTTATTTTTCAATATTCCCACCTTTGTCAGCAAGTTAAACTACCAAAATAAATAAACAAAACGACACACAATTAATTCTACATGGCTCAATTAATTCTTCCTTATATTAAAACTAATTATTTCTTGTGCCTGAATGCACAAAATAATAAAAAAAAATGATCAACAATAATCATATTTGTATTCAAATCTAAAATTAAATTACAAATATAGAAAAAAAAAATTTAAGCACTGATTATAATGGGGACGAGTGGTGGTGGTGATAGTGGAGAATGTGGTGGCGGGAGTAGTGGTGGGGGTGGTAACGGTAGTGATGGTGATGGTAGGGTAGTGGTGGTAGGATAATGATAGTGATGATGGTGGTGATGGGGCAATGAGGGAGGTGGTCATGGTGGCGGGATAGTGGTGGTGGTGGTAAGGTGACAATAGTTGTGGTGGTGGTAGTTGGGATAATGGTGGCGGGGTTGCGATAGTGGTTGTTGTTATGGGACGGTGACAATGGTTGTAGTGGAAGAGGTGGTGGTTAGGCAGTAGAGATGGTGGTGGAGATAGGGTGGCAGCAATGGTAGTGATGGTAGAGTGGCAACAGTGGTAGTGTTTGTTGTGACAAAGGGTGATGGTGTAATGGTGGTGGCGATAATGGTGATGGTGTAATGGTGGTGGCGATAATGGTGATGGTGGCAGTAGTGGTGGAGGTAGTTGTGGTGGTGGAGTGACAGTGGTGGTTGTAATGGTGATGGTGGTGGGGGTGGGGGGTGCAGTTCCAAACATTACTTTTTTTTAAAAGTATTTATAAAAAATTATAAGTCTTAAAAGAATTTTTAAAAAGTTACTCCAAGCGCACCCTTAAAGTCTATTTTTCATATTAAATTTGAGGTGTTAATATTAACTGTTAATTAATTTTAAAATAAAATTTAAAGAGATCTTAATTGTAAAAAATAAAAATCATTTTATTTATCTTTTGATATTTGAATTGTGTTGTACTTTATTATATAAATTCCAATGAGTTTGATATGATATATATGTACGATGACACCAATTTTAAAACTCTAATATTGGTACATTAAGTATCAAAATATCATTTAGGTTAGCTCAAAAACAAAATGGAAACAGAGGAAAAATATGAAAACATGTAGAAACAAGTGAAAACATAAATAAATTTTTTTATTTATAAATAAAAGCTTAATAATTGATTGATTGAACATGTTTATTGGGTTATAAATAAAATTCTTTTATTTATAAAAAAAAACTTAATAATTAATTGATTGGGCATGTTTATTGTGTTAACATCCATTCATGTTTTTTTCAAAACTCTGGAATTTTTTATTTTCCACACCCTGATGCGATTTTCGATCCCCGACATTATACGTACTCAAAAATTGAAAGCACCCAATATATATAATAAAATACCTTATAATTTAAATTTCAAAAGATAAACAAAATTACTTTTGTTTTTCGTGATTCAGATCGCTTTAAATTTTACTTTAAAATTAATTTAACGGCTAATATTAACACCTTAAATTTTATAGGAAAAATAGGACTCTAAGAGTGTGTTTGGAGTGACTTTTAAAAGTACTTCTACGAATCATTTCTCATAAGTACTTTAAAAAAAATAGTGTTTGAAACCGCACTACTACTACTTCTACCACCACCACCGTTACCGTTACCGTCACCGCCACCACTATTGCCACCGCCACCCCCCCACCACCACCACAACCGCTGTCGCCACCACCACTGTTACCATGGTCATTGCCACCCACTACAACCATCACCGTCTCCTACCACCACCACTACCGCCCATCAACTCTTACCTCACTACAAACCGATGCTTAAATTCTTTTATCTCTTCTTTATGTTTGTGATTTGATTTTGTATAGGAATATAAATATGTTTATTGTTTACTATTTTTTATTATTCAGTGTCTTCAGACACAGGTAATAATAGTACATCTATGTTATACAAGAGGCTCTCAACTTATTGTTTAACCCAAACAAACAACTAGAGATATTTTTTGTGAATTCGATCCAATAATTTGATAGATTTTATTTTCGTGGTTTATATTAGAATCCGTTAATAATTCGAAATCTAATCTAGTTCGAGTAACTTAATTTAATTAAATTTTAACAAATTACATCAAAATTTTAACTAAATTTATTCAAATAATCACTTTTTGTTTTGAAAATAATTATACAAAAATCTATATAATAAATCAACTAAGAAGATGAATCGTTATTCCCTATACATTTTTTTTCCAAAAAAATTACATCACTCAATTATATCACATGTCTAATCATTTAATATTTAGTTAATTTGTAGTTTAACACAATTTTTATTTCATAAATTATTCATACACGATAGTGTACACATATTGAAAAAAATTTATCGAGTTATGCATTTTGAGAAAATTTTGACGCTATTTTTAAGAAAACAATAGGTAGAAATTAATTTTAAATGATGTAAGCAAAAAAATTAATTTTAAATTTGGTATTATCGGATCAATTTTTTGAACCCTAAAATCTTATATTTCATCGTACTTTCAGAAACAGATTATGAGTAGTTCATAAATATTTTGAATCGGAACATAATCAGATCAAATATAAGTATATCAAAATTTGAATTTGTGAAATATAAGATATCAAATTCGGGTTCGAATAATTAGTAAAAAATATCAAACCACATCCAACTAATTAGATTTGGGTTTAGATCAAAATTCAATCAATTGACATGTCTAGACACATGTGACACAAGTGACATTAATTTAGCAGTAGATAAGTGTTGTCGATGAACGTGTCAAAGAGGGATGAGTGGGTAGACGAGAGGTGAAAGTCATATCCGCGTTGTTGAATTCAAGTCCTTGCCATCGTCCGCAGCTGCTTGGGCAAACATGCCTTATAATCTCTGCGACTGAACACCCATCCAGAGCATTCAAAGACCCAGACCCTGGAATTAATTAAGCATTCAAAGGACTACTTGGTAAACCCGTTCCTACTCCTCCTTTGCTTCCCAAACAAAACAAAATCACATAAGAAAGAAAAAAAAAAAAAAAAAGTCTCGGTCATCTGACAATAATAGATCCAAACATGAATAATTTAATTTTGACTGACATGATAAACATTTATTTTATTAACATTATCCATCACTATCAACCAGAAGAGTTTTCTCGTTTTTTGAAGTGCCTACATTGCATGCTAGCATGATTTTCATGGAAAACGTATTCATTTAGAAGGTGAAAAAATATGCATATTGAAGGCTTTTAATATTGAATGTAAACCTAGTTATTTTCTTCATTTTTGACCCATTCAATTTTTATTTTCTTGTCAAACT